GTATACGTACAAAATGTTCTCAAATTCACTAGTAATCAAGGAAATGCAAATTAAAATCTGTTCATATTACTTATAATAAGAATACATTGATGCTAGGAGTAGAAATTTGTAAAACAATTTAGAGGTTAACTTGGCAATACCCACCAATGTTATATCTATCCTAGTACCCAGAAATTCTACTCATAGGTCTATGTGCTAGGATTAACTCTCACACATGCACATACAGACAGAAATATAACACTACTATTGGGAGCAATTTTATGGTAGAAAAATCAGGAAGAATCCAAATGTCCATCAGCAAGACAGTGTTCCCATTATTGCTTTTCTACCCAATAGAATAATAAAGAGCAATGAAAAATCCACTGGCCCAGAGCTACATATATCCACATGGATGAAAATCCAAGTTTAATACTGAATGAGGAAAGCAAGTTTCAGAAGCATACAAACAGTATACCATTTATATAAAATTTAAAACACTAAATATTATTCAAGCAAATATATATACAAAATCAAACTCCAAAGAAATCCTCTAAATCCTAGGCCATGATTACCTTTGGAAAGTGTAAATTTTTATCAAAGAGGCATCAACAAGGAGCATTAATTCTTTTGGTAATATATCATTTTTTTAAGTTGAGCGAGACGTACATATGTATCTGTTTTATTATTTCAATACTTTTTTGTATGACTGAAATATTTCAATACAAATTAAAAATATGTAAAATTAAGGGTGCCTGGTTGGCTCATTTGGTAGAGCCTGTGACTCCTGATCTTGGGGATGTGAGTTTGAGCCCCACATTGAGTGTAGAGATTATTTTATGTATATACACACACATATATATATAAAATACTGGTTACTACTAAGTCACAAAAACTGACACACCCAAGCCAAAACTCTCTTAAACGAATATCATCAAGATGACAATGGAGTTACATGTGAGACAGGAAACCATCAAAATCCTAGAGGAGAACATAGGCAGCAACCTCTTTGACCTCGGCTACAGCAGCTTCTTTCTAGACATGTTTCCGGAGGCGAGGGAAACAAAAGCAAAAACGAACTATTGGGACTTCATCAAGATAAAAAGTTTCTGCACAGCGAAGGAAACAATCAACAAAACTATGGAATGGGAGAAGATTTTTGCAAATGGCATATCTGATAAAGTGTTAGTATCCAAAATCTATAAAGAACTTATCAAACTCAACGCCCATAAAACAAATAATCCAGTTAAGAAATGGGAAGGCATGAATACACATTTTCCAAAAAAGGCATCCAGATGGCTAACAGACACATGAAAAGATGCTCAACATCACTCACCATCAGGAAAATGCAAATCAAAACCACAATGAGATACCACCTCACACCTGTCAGGATGGCTAAAATTAACAAGTCAGGAAACGACAGATGTTGGTGAGGATGCAGAGAAAGGGGAACCCTCCTACACTGGTGGTGGGAATGCAAACTGGTGCAGCCACTCTGGAGAACAGTATGGGGGTTCCTCAGAAAGTTGAAAACAGGACCCTATGACCAAGCAATTGCACTACTAGGTATTTACCCAAAGGATACAAAAAATACAGATTCGAAGGGGCACATGCACCCCGATGTTTATAGCAGCATTCTCAACAATAGCCAAACTATAGAGAGAGCCCAAATGTCCTTCGAATGATGAATGGATAAAGAAGATGTGGTATATATACACAACGGAATATTATTCAGCCATAATAAAGAATGAAATCTTGCCATTTGCAAGGACATGGATGGAGCTAGAGTGCATCATGCTAAGTGAAATAAGTCAGTAAGAGAAAGACAAATACCATATGATTTCACTCATATGTGGAATCTAAGAAACAAAACAGATAAACATATGGGAAGGGGGAAAAAAGACAGAGAGAGGGAAACAAACCATAAGAGACTTTTAACAATAAAGAACAAACTGAGGGGGCGCCTGGGTGGCTCAGTCGTTAAGCGTCTGCCTTCCGCTCAGGTCATGATCCCAGGGTCCTGGGATCGAGCCCCGCATCGGGCTCCCTGCTCCGTGGAGAGCCTGCTTCTCCCTCTCCCACTCCCCCTGCTTGTGTTCCCTCTCTCGCTGTGTCTCTCTCTGTCAAATAAATAAATAAAATCTTAAAAAAAACCAAAAAACAACCTGAGGGTTGCTGGAGGGGAGGTGGGCAGAGGGTGGGCTGAATGGGTGACGGGCATTAAGGAGGGTACTTGTTATGATGAACCCTGGGTGCTGCACGTAAGTGATGAATCACTGAATTCTACCCCTGAAACCAATATGGCACTGATTAGAATTTAAATAAAAATTTGAAGAAAAAAAAAGCTGACAATAGAGTTGCATTTCCCCAAAATTCAATTACTTGCTAACCTCCACTAATAGAAAAAAAAAAAAAGCTGAATTTCAGGAAGTGGAAAGATGCAAATATTCAGACACAAATGGGTACACACACACACACACATGCATAGACACACATACTCACCTGCACACTCATTAATAGCTATGGTAAAAAAATTCATGTATGAAAAGCATGTATATTATACTTTGAAAAATATGATAAGTAGGCATTTTAATGGCCATAATAAGTGACAACTAGCTTCAGGGAAGAGGACAAAATAATACATTATCCAGAAACAAACTGCAAAAGCTCAGGAGCATGGAGTGATTTAATGTAGGACCAAATGTTTATGATAATAACATATATTATTATTATTATAGTCTCTGCTTTTATTGTCTATAAATCTGTCAGTTTTTCTGTCCACCCTTTTATTCCCTTAACACTACACTTTAACCAATCAAGCAATGTTACATTCTCTACTTTTTTACTTCTAGAAGCTCAACCATCAATAACACGCCCCTCTAACTCATGCAGATGCATTGATTATTCCTAAGTGGGCTAATAAAGAGGGGCACAGAGGGAATTCCACTCTTTGAACAGTGTATTTCATTCCAGGTGCCTGCTGCCTATGTGAGCGAGGAGAAATGGCTAAAAAGCAAAGCCCATTGCTTTGTACTGGCCTCACCATATCATGGATCTATAGGAGCAGTTTCTATAGCCGGGAATTAAGGTCTTCATATTGCTTCTTATTTTCAGAGAGAAATAGTGTTCAGGAAACTAAAATAACCCATTCTTTTTGCTCGGGATCATTGAGATGCCCTATTGTAGAATTCCTTAGTTGTTTGCACCACTGATGTTACGTATCTTCTTGCTCAGATGTAAACTCCTGGATTCAGTCCACTAAGCTTATGTAAATAACTTGCTGAGATTCATTTAGAGTGAAATTTTAGTTTCTTTTTACTCCTGAAGTGATGGTTCTAATTTTTAGCAGAAATGTGCCCTAGGCTAGCGGGTTCGGGCTTAAACTCGTTTCTTATTCATTGTCAATAGTTGCCTTTTAGGTTGATGTAATGAGTAAAGCTTAGCGGTGAAGTCCACCCAGACAGGATCTTTTTCAAGAAAGGCATGCTGCGCAGACCTTTGTCCCAAAGTAAGGGAGCAACTAGTCACAAGGCCGGCTGAAGCCTTCCACTGACACCTCTACTTTATGATGCTCAACAGGGAGTCTGCTTCTCCCTCAGGGAGTCTCCTTCTCCCTCTGACCCTTCCCCCCCCCATTCTCTCTTAAATACATACATACATACATACATACATACATAAAGGAAGGGGGGAAAATTGACGACTGCAGGGTTGAGAAAGTACTCTCAAAGTTTTTGTCCTTGACACCTCACCTTCCATTCTTTGCCCCTTTCATAGCTCTCTTCTCAAGACAATTCCCCCATTGTCTCCTTTACTTTTTCTATCGTGGATGAGTGTTATCTAATAAAATAATTGAAAACAAGTGCTTTGGTGAGTCACTTCGTGATGTCGGCCATAAATTTCAAGAGATAATTTGCAGGTTGACATTTTTAAGAGATTTATCACCATCCAAGAGAAGAAACACACCTACTACATTTATTGTATGTGTTGCTACAATATGGTGCTCGTGACTTGATGATAATCTACAGTTCATGCTGTAGTGGGATTTATCCAAAATGATGAGATTTCTCTTTCTTCCACAAAACATGTAACATGCTATTGACCATATAAAGAGGCAAGTTAAATCTATGTTATTGAACGTTGAGTTTTTAGAATATCTATAGTGTTCACTTCAAAAAGTGCACATTCTTCTTTTATTAGTAAAATTTTTCCAGTTTGTATTTGTCATTAATCTTACTGTTACATTTTACTGAGACTTTTACTTTATAATCAACTCCTCAGGCTTCAGGCCAACTTGATATCAAAAGGCTTCTCACAGGGTGGCTGGCGTAAGGGGAAGATGAGTGCAGGGTATGTGGAAACTCACTTTCTTTGCAACTCTTCCGTAAATCAAAAATTATTTCAAGACAAAATGTTTTCTTTTCTGTTGTTTTGTTTTTAAAGCCTTCTCAGGTGAATTTTTTCATTTGTCAGTGTGTTGACATTGGATTGAATTTTCTGTCTGAACTTTATTAAATTTTTTCTTTCTTCTTTTCTGAGACAGCAGGTATGTGCCAAAGAGTATGGTCAAATATGTGCAACTTTTATGTAAAAAGTATGTATTCTTGTGAGAGATTTTTTTTTTCCATTAAGAAGGGAAAAATGGCCATTTCTTTTAAACATCGAGAGCATAAGACAGTGGGTGCACTCTAGAAATCCAGCTGCTTCTTGAGGTCCACGTGCAAACAGTGTTTCCCCTCTTCACATTGAGCAACCAGCTCAAACTTCAGATTACATCATCGGCTATAAATTGTTTTATTAAAAGTTTCCCTAGGATGGCTTTCTTCAAATCCTTTTATTTTTATCAGGAAAAAAAATTTTAAGCAGAGAAAGTACTCAAATAATTTAGGCAGAAGTGAAAATTAATTTCAGTGTATGTTTTCCAATCGGGTTTCCATTTTATAAACAGAATTACAGAAAGCAAAATTTAGCATAAATGGGTGAATTTTGGGTCTTATTGGGCTGATATCTAAAAGCAGATCAATGGGGTGCTTGCTTCAGCAGCGCACATACTAAAATTGGAACGATACAGAGAGGAGTAGCATAGTCTCTGCGCAAGGATGACACACAAATTTGTGAAGCATTCCATATTTTTATGTCCTTTAAAATTATGTTCAGTTCTTCGCCTTAATAAAGTCACCCTGGTATCAAAAAAATAAAATAAAAGCAGATAACGGGAATGCAGACCCTCCTAGATCTTTGATACGCACAATATTAGTTACTACTTGGAAGAAAAGACATACCAAAACACATCTGGAATTGACCTTTCTTTCCTTCTTTTTTTCCCCTGGCATAGTCATCTTGCTAGCCACATGCACCACGCATTCAGAGAAAGGGCCATTTTAGTATGGCTGCTGAATGTTATATAATGTGCTTCTAGGAAGCACCAATATATATGGAACCGTCTTTTACAAAGCTACACCTTGCACTGGGAATTGGGAGGCAATTTATTTTCAGAGTCTTTCTTTTTCTCTTTGGCTGGAAGGCTCAACCAGCCCTTCCTAGGTAGTCTCCCCTTGGGTAATCTTCCTAGCAACATCTCAGCAAGCAGACAATTTGTTTTTCCTTGGACAAGCTACAATTCATGTTATTGGGCAGACTGAAGATGTTCTTGTAAGGCTGTTCTTAATCGAGCTCTCTATTCTGGGTGCTCCTTCAGTCACTTCTACATGTGGGATTACCTTAAGGTTTCTCTTCAACCGGAAGTGCTGCCACGTTCTAGGTTCATGGGTTTTTTCTACCAACTTCAGACATCTGGAGTGCACTGGCTATGCCCAGAGAGAGGTAGATGACCTCTTTGAGACCTCTAGTCTCTTCTTTCTTGTCTTGATGGGCCAAAATTATTAGTTGCTTATGGTAGGGTGGACATGTTGAATCTCAAATCTGCCAATGCCCCAGGCCAACTTACTGAGTCTTTTGTCATCTATAAAATAAAGGTCATAATTCTTACCTCTTAGAGATTTTGTGACAGTTTAACATGATTGATTTCATATCTATATAGATACAGATATATAAAATCCTCCTGCATGTGCTCCATATCTTTGGTTTTCTTACATTTTCATTTAAATTCCAGTTAGTGAACACACAGTGTAATATTAGTTTCAGGTGTACAATTTACTGACTCAACACTTCCATACATCACCCGGTGCTCATCACGACCAGTGCCCTCCTTAATCCCCATCACCTATTTCGCCCATCCCCCCACCCACCTCCCCTCTGGTGACCATCAGTGTGTGCTCTAGAGTTAAGAGTCTGTTTCTTGGTTTGCCTTTCTCTTTTTTTCCTTTGTTCATTTGTTTTGTTTCTTAAATTCCACATATGAGTAAAATCATATGGTACATGTCTTTCTCTGACTGACTTCTTTTGATTAGCATAATACTCTCTAGCTCCATCCACGTTGCTGCAAATGGCAAGATTTTATTCTTTTTTATGGCTGAGTAATAGTCCACTGTGTTTATATACTACATGTCCTTTATCCATTCATCAGTCAATGGACATTTGGGTTCTTTCCATGATTTGGCTATTGTTGATAATGCTGCTATAAAGATCGGGGTGCATGTATCCCTTCAAATTAGTTTTTTTTTTTTGTAAATACCGAGTAGTGTAATTGCTGAATTGTAGGGTAGTTCTATTTTTAACTTTTTGAAGAAACTCCATGCTGTTTTTCAGAGTGGCTTGCCTTTCTGAAAAGGCTCTTGCCTTTTTATGCGCTCCTAGAGTTGGTAGTGGTGGCTACTCTTAGTCCCTCTAGAGGGCAGCCCCAAGCAGTATCCCTGAGAAGCCAGCAAGTTTGACCCACTGTGTGGCATATTTCTGCCCAGATGTCTCACTTCTTAGCAATAAGTGGAAAGTCTTTCAGGGGGCTTAGTGGTTCAAGACTGATACTAGGGGTGATACTAGGAAATGTTTCTTCAAAGCTGACACTCTATCTGCTGCGTCTTGAAACCTAGTCCTTCAGTGACCCAAGAGAGCCCACCAAGCAGGCAATAATAGTTGTTGCTTCCTCTGTAGTGTTGAATGTTGCTACCAGAAGAACTAGGCAAAAAATCCTGGGCTGAGAATCACAGAATTCAAACTGAATCACAGATATTCTCTATTCACTCAAGCCCACAGTCCAAACTAAGTGCAATAATGATGCCAGTTTGTTTATGCATAAGCACATTCTCTATTATGGATTGTTTAGTCTGCCATGCTGTTCTATCCAACCCATTATGCTCTTTCTTTCATTGCTCCTTACTTTAATTCTATTGACCTTTCAAACTTGAGCTTAAAATCCATCTGTTCCACCAAATCTCTCTAGATCACTCGTCTCAGCCTGAAGTTATGTATCTCTTCTTTGAATTGCTGTTGGTATAGTCATGCATTAGCCTGTGATTATCATCATCCTCTCAAAGCACCATTTAAAAATTTCATTGTTATCTAATGAGAAACATGTATCAGGTTTATTTTCTCAAAGAAGTTGGCGAACCCTTTGAGAGAATACATTATACCTTTTTGGTATCTGCCATAATGCCTACAATATCTTAGTGGATATGATATTTTCATTTGCATAATGGCTTCTTCAAATACCTGCAAACCATCAACTCTCAAAGATTTCAGCTACTGGAGAAGGTCAAATGGATATGAATAATCCAACACTTGAATTATTCAAAAATCATTTATACCGAGTTTTGGAAGATATTAGTGGCAGCTACATTCTTTCCCTAATAAATGATTTATAAAAAAATAATAGTAACATCAACACTCACTAGGCCTTTATGCTTTTCAGAGCTCAGCTCGAACTAATGATTCACCCATATTTCTCCAAGCACCTGGAACAGAAGGTGAAAAGATAAGGCCCAGTCAAGGACTGGTTATAAGAAAAGCCTAGAGATTACAGTTTCCTTGGTACTCCACATAGTACCCACAAGCATATTGGTCTATACCTATGCATTTGCCACATTTCACTTGTGTTTCTCACTGATAATAGTTGATAAGTGAGAGCAGCACACAGCCTACATTTACATTCTGGTTTTCTCATTTCCTAGCTCTGTAATCATGGATAACTTACCTAACCTCTGTATTTGAGGATACTCCTGAACAAAATTGGAATAGTAACAGTGCATATTTCATAGGTTTTTTGGTATGGGACTTAAAATGGTTTATGTAAGATGCTTAGCACAATGTCTCAAACGTTAAAAAGAGAATGAGCAAGTGCAAGAATGCAAGAGTAGAAGAGGGTCACTAGAAGTTTTATTTTCTTCCTTTATTCTCCTAGAATCCAAAGTGTAAAGAATACCTGAGAGGGAAGAGTAGCTACATGTAAAGATAACCCAAACCATGTTCTTCTCTTGGGAGAGAATGATAGGAAAGAAAAGCGGTACAAAACCAGTGTAAGAGCAACTCGTAAATGGGTACAGAATTTCTAAGTGTGAGCCATTGGAGGGATGCTATTAGCTACTGGAGGCTACATGTAAACAACACAGAGTGCCTCAACCAATAACATATGTTTGACTTCCAGAAGCTTCCAGAGGGTGGACTTTGTGCCTAACTCAATTTATAGGCCAACTGATGATGTCATTGAGTTCCTGCTATGATGTTGGGGCTGGTGACCCAAAGAACATTTAAGGGCTCAAGGTTTTGGAGGGGGAGGTGGGACACAGGTGCAAACATAACTACAGCTTGGAGCAGGAGGAATGTGAATAAAAAAGGAAGCAAGAGTTCAAGCTATCACATAAAAAGTGCCAAATTAGGGCTACAGAAAGAAGATATTACCAGGGTCACTGAGAGAGAACTGTCTAGAAGGGGTGATTTCAGCCAGACGTTGAAGGTTGAATAGGAGGTTAATTTAAGCATGCCACAGCCATGTGTTAGGATAAAAAGAACACTCACTCTTGCCTCCAATAGGCCTGAGGTTAGAAGCCAGGTTCCATTCTTCATGAGCTGCATTTACTAAATAATACATACTTTCAAGACTATTGTGGGAAATATTTGTTAAGTATCTAGTATGGTGTCTGGCATATAGTATAGCCTCAAATATAATAGCTACTATTGGTAACCATAGAGTCTTAGAGTATTCTTTTTTGATGATGATGTTGCCTTAAGCACTGGTAAGCACAGCTGTTTCACATTTCCTCTCTATGAGCCTGAGTAGCAGTGGTAAACATCTGCAGGGGTTTCTGTGCTCACCTACCTGAAAATACCATAGGGAAAGGATAGCCGAGGTTCAGAGTATCCAGAAGCCCACGACAGAAGCAAAGGAACAAGCTCAAGCCAGTCATGACAGCAAACTCCAAGGACAGTCAAGGTCCTTGGAGAGGGCTGATCTATACTGAACAATAAATCTGGGACACTTTGCCTTTATCTTTCCTTCCTCCTTCTCCTTCACTCCTTCCTTCCTTTTCTTCAAGGTGCTTTGCTCTTCCCATCAATGGATAAAGTCAGCAGCCTAATCAAACTCCTAAACACTAAGAGTTAAGGGATTTATTAAGTCACTCTTCCCACTGACATTGGTGTTTCAAATATTTCAAGGGATGGTAAATGTTTAATTTAAATCATGCATGCCTGAGAGCAGGAGTTTGGGTATTAGCAGTCAGTCAATGATGCGGTTGAGAGGGGGGTGGTTATGACCAGAACTACTGAATTCATTTGAAAAATTTATATGGAGAAAAGCATGGTGGAAGGAAAAGGTGCTTGCATTTAGAATTAGGGGAGCTACCTTAAAATCCCAACTCTGGCACTTTTTAAGAATTGATCCTTATCAAGTAATTTTACTCTCCTGTTCTCATTTTCTCCAGTGAGTAATAAGAATGAAAATCCTTAACTTATACAGGATGTTGTGAGGGTTAGACAAGCACTTCTCAAACTGAATGTGTACACAGACTACTTGGGCATCTTGTTAAAATACAGATTCTGATTCAGGAATTCTGGAATGGGGCCCAAGGTTCTGCATTTCAAATGAGCTCTCAGATGGTGCCAATGCTGCTGATCCAAGGACCCCATTTTGAGTAGCAAGAGGCTGTTAGATAATGTAATTAATGATAAAGTGGGCTTTCTTCCCAGATAATTGGGTGGGAAGAGATCATTTCTCACCCTGGCTTGCTACCAGTTACAAAA